GAGGAGCAGCCTGATACTGTGCTGACAGTATAATGTCAGGCTGCTCCTCGCCCTGATGAAGTAAAATGCAAAATGTTAGACTTCATTCAGATTAATATTACATATTGTTCGCATTTAACTCGTAATATTACATGTATTTCTATATATCTAGTTTTTCCTATTATATACCTGATTTCTATCGTATACCTGATCTTGTGATTGCTGCGCCGCTTGAACTGCGACATTGACGTTAGCTTGTGCTTGTTGTAAAGAAGATGTTTCTTCTCGGACTACCGATCGTGCCTCTTTCACCTCATTTCGCAGCTGTTCAACCATCGCTTCCTTACCCGGTAAGACTGCTTCAGCGGCTTTTGCAGCTTGAACTGCCTTCTCTGCCAATTGAGCTTTCACCTATTACGTACATATATGTAGTGTATTTCCTCAACAAAATACCGATCTTAACATTCGTCGTATATCGCAAATATAATTAACGATGCAAATCGTCTGCGTGCCACCAATTCCACGACATAATTTTACACGATAAATTTTGTTAGATTATTTCCATACAGATACAGATCTCTAGTACAACTAGACCAAGAGATTAATAAAGTTACTTTCTTAATTCCACCGTTAGAATTTTTTTTATTTGAGAAAATAAATCCTTTATCTTGTAATATATTTTTTAATATCTTACATCTTTTATAAATTATCTTATTATATGTAAAATTATGTTATTTTTATATCTTTTCACTTTCATCTTTGATCTTTTATTTTTTTTATTTCTTGCAATGAATACCAAAGAAGCAAAACATATTGTAAATAAAATATTATCAAATCACAAGTCGAATTAAGACTTGTCACGAGTCAATATTCCAAAGCAAAACAATTCCTTGAATATAATAATATAGTCAAGTACTTGACGTGCTGCTTGCTGACCAACGATATTCTGTGCTTCAGACGCGGCCTTCGCTTCCTGTGCTGCCTTTTGTGCAATGTTAGTTGATTTTTCAATAGTCTTCTTCTGTAAACTCTTTGGTAAAACGCTACGGCAATTCTCGCTTTCTGCATGACGCATATCTCTTTGATTCTATAATTGTTTTAAAAAACAATATTAGTATAAGCAACGATCTTTGTCTATTAATCATATTTTAACAATAAATATTTATATTAAAAATGTTAATTACAACTTAAATATCTAATTTTAATTATTCTGCTATTGTTATCAAAACTTCTACAATCATATCATCACTATAGAGAAATTCTCTTAAATCTGATAACATCTCTCTCTCTCT